ACCACACACCTGACATAGATCAAATAGACGTTATTACATACAACCCTCAAGCGCACACCTGACATAGATCATATCGACGTTATTACATACAACCCTCAAGCGCACACCTGACATAGATCAAATAGACACCTGATATAGATCATAATCGACGTTATTGCATACACCCCTCAACTGCACACCTGACATAGATCATAATCGACGTTATTGCATACAACCCTCAACTGCACACCTGACATAGATCATAATCGACGCTATTAAATACGAGGGCTGATTGAGTTGAGAGCCTCATACTTAAAAAAGTGAATGCTTAGATTTCGTTGTTTTTTCCATGCGTTGGATTTCGGACTAGCGTTGTTTAAAATTAGACCATTCACAAAATTATAGCACTTTTTTAGAACAAAAAATGATAAAAATGATAAGCTGAAAACTAATACCGGCCGATAATCGCCGCGGTGTTTACCGTCAATTCTTGTTTTGATCGGGGATAACCCGCTGCTTTGTTATGATTTCTAAACTTGCATGCGCAAAGACATTGTTTACACACTACGAATGATAATGCTTTTAACTAGTGTTGAGTTGCTCCCATTTCATTTTAATATTTTGACGGAAAGAGCACAAATTTTAACAGATATATGTTATAATGCTTTTAATCAGTTATGAGATGAAAATCTAACCATGAAGTCGCTTTACGGTTTTTGCATTTTGGGCGTCATATTGCATACTTTTTTCAACATAATTCCCGTCAGTATCCATACACTTTTGCCAGTGATGTTTCAAGTCCTCAATGCCACTTTTCTTGACCATTCAGAAAGTCCTCCATGTATGACGTCATCATCTGACAAGATATTGACTTTTTCAATTTTGGAAATATCCGGTAGAAGAAAGCCTGATTGAGCGAGAACAGGCCAATAAAATGGATGCTCAATCAATTAAAGCCAAAATTGTTAATGACAGTCATGGCTATGACAGACTTGTGAACAGGAGCATTGTTCTGGGGGAACACCACACCTTCACTGATTTTGTCGCGGCGCTTGAGTTTGATAATTTCTCTAACTGCCTAAAAGTGATGCATAATATGTGCCATTGACCGTTTGTCTCTTTTGCAGATAAACTACCATCATGTTATCATCAGCATCACAAAAAACCGAGGTCATAGCCTTTCCAGCTAATGGAAAAGTCTTGCCCCATTTGGCGGATGTGAACCAGGATACTTCTCCAGGCCTATGGGGTGACGTGATGAACCAACGTTTCATACATTGTCACAATTCTCTTCAGAAAGGTAGCAGGATCTGCCTCTAAAAGGTTCGGATTAGCACGCGAAAAAGTCCGCCTGGTATGCTTCTGATCAACTGTCAGAAGCCTTGGTACCCAATGGGATGAGAGCTTTTTCAATGCAAGATCTTCTGTAATAATGGAATGTACTCTTTCCTGTGAAATCCCAACTGTACTGGCTATATATCTCTATGTAACTTGCCTGTCAGCCATGACGATATTCTAGACTTTCTAGGCTCTGCCTGCCACGCTCAAATTCCCCCACCCACCTTTTCACTGTAGCATATGAAGGGGCATCAATCCGTAGTGTTGCTACCATATCAGTAAGGATGCTCTTAGGTGCTAGACCTTTCTAGTGCAAATATTGAAACACTGTTCTTTCAGCGATTTTGTCCATTTTGCGAAAGTCTCTTGCCTTGTTTAATTTAGAGTACTGCCTCTTAGACATAAACTGACTCACAACTTATCAATCAGGATAATTGAATGTGTGTAATTACTTAGTATTTAGTATTTTGCAAAAGACAATAACTGATAAAAATTGTTATCAGTGTATCAATGTTTCAACATTTCAATGTTATAATACTGAATTTTTTGTAAACATGTATATTCCTTTTTTCGCTTTATATATGTATATAAATAATATAGCGAAGAAGAGAAGAAACGATAAACCTTAACTGAGCAACGTTGGAGAAGTAGATGAAAGAGGCAATAACGGGTGTCAATTGGTGTGTTATTCGTCCTGTATTTTCGAACCAATAACATATACTACATCTAATACCGTGCGTTTGAAATTAAATCAATAATTCATTCGCGATATATCGCAAAAAACAAGTGTGTTTATTCCCAATTCGTATTGAACAACGAACGACATTTAGTCCACGAAGTGCTATTCAGCACTAGATATAACTCTAGCGTTTTCCATGCATGACTTTAAAATCTGATGTGTTGGATATCATAAAGTTGAATCCCGATGTGTTTGCAGAGGGGTCTTTGATTTTTGTGTTTGCCTTCGGATCTGATTTCCATTATTGATATAGGAAATGACCCGATCCCCGCGGATATTTAGTGCCTTGGCTTTCAATTATGCTTTGCTGACAAATATTAAGCTCCCGAAGGGTAAGCGTCTTCTGCTTCATCGATGACACTCGTCAAATAAATCTTGGTTAATCCAAGTAAGTTATGTTATTGTTCCAAGTTAAACAACAACAGAACCACCAGGCATACTAACGGACACATTAAAGACCGAACGCGTTCAGAAATTAATGCTGATGTGCTGAAAGGATAGAAACAGGGTGCTGACAGACACGGATTTTAATTTCCCTGTCATTGTCGGAATACGCCTCCCACAAATATTATTGTTGTATTCAGCAGTAACGGAAAAAAGGGCGTGCACGTACATTAATTCGAGAGAAATGCTTTCTGATTTACTTACACATTTCATTCAAAAAATATAAATAACTGTTTAGATAAGCTATTGGCGCTCGGGAGAGAAAGACAAAAGTAGTTTTCGAAATGCTCTCCGCTGGTGTATTTCTGCACCCTCGCCAGAAAACTGCTTATAAGTCACTGACCATATATTCTCTATTTGTATATTCAGCAGTGGCGGGAAACAGCTGTATTTTAGTATTAATTCGACAAGATTGCTCTCTTATTTACTTTAATATTTCATTTAAAAGTAATTAAAAAAAACTTTAAATAATTTATCTTTTATGTTTCAACAAACAAGTTGATTTTTTGTCCATGGAACTGTGGGACTATATTTCTACGCGGAGCAATTATTTTGAAGCCTGGCACGATTTAGCGTCAGGCACAAAAAATTAATAGCCCCAACAAACCGTTGAAGTTTCGATAATCTGAATTTCCAAGAGTTCTGTCCGTATTCTTTAATTAGTTATGTAATCTGATCCGGTTCACTGAGATGTTAAGAAGAAGAAAAATTTTTAAAAATCGTGGCATGCTACCAACGTCTCTCTTTTCGATGCTGAACCAACATATATCTACGACACTTGAACCTCCAGAGTGACGAAAAATACAAAGGCTGTAAAATTAACACATTCAAAATAAGATGGACATGTGCAAATGCACTTTACAATATGATAGAAAAAGTAAATTATACCATAGCACTAAAAGTACCATTGCTGAGAAATCTTATCTCACACACACCACACACGTTCCATACTGTACGTTGATACAAGTTTCAAATCTACAGTTCATAAACATTACAGGAATCCTCTCCAAGACTTTATGTAGGAATGTTAGTACAGCTCCAAATATGGTAGATATATCTTGAAATGTACACAGGACGCGGTACAAGATACGTCTTCAATACCTAATGTTCAATAGAAAAACGTACACAGTTATCCAGCTGAGTATAGGATTACAGTACCACAGTGCCTACAAATGCACTAAACATTTTACGAGTTACCTCCCTTTACCCAGGGAACTTTCCATACATTACTGTGTCTTCTATCCCGCCTGACGTCGCGTAACAGGAAACAAAACACTGTTGTCACAGCTATCCATCCCAGTGTTGATACATTGGGATTAATTTTACTCCAACCATACCAAACTCCATTGCTCAGTGTTACGAGGTTAATTACGGACTGGACTCTGATCAGAATTTAATTGCTTACTTAGAAACCGTCATTTTTAATCAAAGATAATGGTACGTCGTATGATGTTCAACACCGCCATTGCGATAATGGCATTACGTTGGGTGTAATTTACGGATGTAGCCTGACGTAGTTCCTCCCCGCGGTGATTCACGGTAACTGGGTACCTTGCAGCCCCAGACTGAACTGCGAGGACACGGAGGTGGTCTTCCCCCCAGACATGCGGCATGCCAGACTCACTGGTGTGCGGACACGCCCTGGTGCCCATGAAGTAGACCCCAGCTACTGGGAAAATAGTATCTTTGCCTTAAGGTTTACCTTTGGGAAGGGACAGTCTCCGGTTATAAGCCCACGCTGAATTTGCGTAGAGCAAGGCGCCAGGGGTTACTTCCGACAATTGAAGAGATTTCAACTTCACTGGACAACTACCGCCTGCCTCAAGCTGAGCAGCCCTCAGCCAGTAAGGTGTTGTCCCGCCACTGACCACCTGCTTCATTGGATGCATGGACCAAATCGACAATTGGACACCTACTACCTGCACCAAAGAAAACACACAATAATACGAAGACTCCAGCTTGGGTGCTTGAACGTCAGAACAATGATGACAGGCTTATCATCTGATCTCCAAGCCATCTCTGATCTGAGAAAAACTGCAATCATCAACAGAGAACTACTTCGCCTCAAAGTCGACATTCATGCGCTCTAAGAGACTCGTTTTGCTGACTCAGGCAGCCGAAGGGAGGCTGATTACACTTTCTTCTGGCAAGGCAAATCTGAAGAGGAAGTTCTTGAACATGGAGTTTGATTTGCCGTCAGGGACACTTTAGTCGACAGGTGCAACCTGGTCCCAAGGCTACTGAACGCATGCTTTGCCTTCAACTCAGTGCTACAGATAGGCCTGTAAACCTACTCTGTGTTTACGCCACAACACTCACAGCTTCAGAAGATAGCAAAGACAACTACTACAACCAGCCGGGTGCCTTCATCAAAGACATCCCAAACAGGGAGGAACTGATAATACTTCAATGACTTCAACGCTCGCGTGAGCGGTGATAACGATTCCTGTCCCAACTGCCTTGGCAACTTCATCATAGGCAATTGCACCGACAATGATCAATGATTCTGGAGCTTTGTACATTCCATGAACTCTGTGTCACAAAAACATACTTCAGCACCAAGCTTAATCATAGAGTCTCCTGGAGACATCCAAGGTCAAAACATTTTCACCAACTGGACCACGTCCTTACCAGACGCAGGAGCCTTAAACACGTGCTTGTTACCAGAACGTATCACAGCGCAGATAGCGACACAGACAATTCACTTGTATGTCGTATGACAAGACTCAAGCTTAAAACGTTCCACTGCATAAAGAGAGAAGGAAAGCCACGGATATATGTAAGCAAGACACAGTGGCCCCAACTCTCCAATGACTTCATCTCTCGCTTTACAGTTACCTTCGATGGCAACTACAGCCTTACCGTATTTTACCAGTGGAACAACCTGAAGTTTACTACCCACACTATAGCACTTGTCACTTTTGGAAAAAAGAAAGGGACTTCACAAAACGACTGGTTTGAAGCAAACTTAGAGCTGCTTCTACCTCTTTTTGAAGCAAAGCGATAAACCCTTCAAGCTTACAAAGTCAGCCCCTCAGAAGAATGATTCATTCCATGAGGTCAACAAGAAGCGCCATCCAAGTCAGGAGCTGCGCGAATGAATATGAGACTAGCCTCTTTCATTCAATACGACGGAACAAAAAAGACAAGGAACTGTGGTACTCTAAGGAAACCATAGTTCACCAGTATGCTCTTGATGAGAACGATCAACAGAAATTGACCAAGAACTCTCGATGGAAGAATTTTCTAAAGCCATTGTCATGCTACTGGCGTGGATGGAATACCAGCAAAAGTCATCATGTGCGGCAAGGCGGGCCTACTACAGCCTCTTCACAAGCTCTTGATCAAATGTTGGGAGGAAGGTGATGTACCCCAGGATATGCGCAATACCAACATCGTGACATTGTACAAGAACAAAGGAGACCGGAGCGACTGCAATAAATATCGACGCATCTCCCTCCTCAGCATAGTCGGCAAGCTGTTCGCTCGAATTGCGCTACGCAGGCAAACAGGATATATTCAGTGTCACAGTATGGTTTTCGTGCCAAGAGGTCCACAGTCGACTTGATCTTTTCTCTTCTCAACTTCAGGAGAGAAATGCAGAGAACAAACCCAATCTCTGTACATAGCAATCATAGACCTGACAAAAGTGTTCGACCTAGTCAGCCGTGATGGTCTGTTCAAGATGCTGCCATCGGGTGACCACCAAAACTCTTGAGCATATTGAGGTCCTTTCATGATGGCACGATGAGCACAGTGCAAATTCGACGGTGATACATCAGCAGAGTTTGAAGTCAAAAGCGAAGCTTAACAGGGCTGCGTTCTCGCACCAACCCTCTTTGGAATCTTCTTCGCCCTCTTGCTGAAACACGCATTCAACTCCTCAGAAGACTCAGGGCAAAACCAAAGTCAGAAAAGTCCTCATCAGAGACAGACGACTCTGCCATAGTTTCTCATCATCAACTAGGGCTCCATAGACTTATGGACAGGTTCTCCGACTCTTGCGATCTCTTTGGTCTCACGATCAACCAAAAGAAGACCCAAGTCATGAGTCAAGCCACTCCAGAACCAACTCTCATTACAGTGAAAGGAGAAGAACTGGAAGTTTTTAATCAGTTCCAATACCTCTGCTCTACCACATCGGACTCATTGTCGCTAGATATGGAGATCAACAAACGCATATGCATAGCTTCGTCCACTCTCTCCTAACTCTCCAAGAGAGTCTGGAACAACAAGCACCTCACAATTCCCACAAAGATTAATGTTTACAAGGCCTGCGTTCTTAGCTCTCTTCTACGGCACGACATACCTCTACCAGGTAAAGAACCTCCAGGTCTTCCACCTCCGGTGCCTCCGCAGAATACTCGGGATAGTATGGCAAGACAGGGTATCTAACAACGATGTCCTGGCCAAAGCTGGTCTACCATCCATCTTCACCTAGCTGCGCCAACGTCGTTTACGTTGGTTTGAACACGTCTTCAGAATGGAAGACGGACATATTTCTAAAGATCTCCTCTACGGTGAGCTTGCCACAGTTACGAGAAAGAGGGATCGTACCCAGCTCCGCTTCAAGGATGCATGCAACATTCAGCCTAGGCCATGGGAAGACTCAGCCAGCTCAAGAGCGACCTGGAAGCAGCAAGTAGCCAAAGGCCTGAAGGAAGGTGAACTAGCCCTTTGGCAACTGAACAGCCAGAAAAGAGCAAGGAGAAAAACCAATCAGTGCACTACCAGCAATGACCAAGAGCCACAAATGTTTACATGCCAGGACTGCAGCAGAGCATGTGGATCGAGAATCGGTCTCTACAGCCACCGACGTAGATGTTCCCTATCAACCAATCAGAATGCTAATCCATAGTCGATACTTCTGAAGGATTCCAACCAACACCAATTTACGAAATTTTGAAAACAATCGGAGGAAATCCTATCACTTGTATGATGACTTCACTCATTACCAAAACACCCCTTTTCAGTGTTAAGTAATAAAGCATGAGAAACACGACGATTTATCTGTCAGACATGCGTTTTCCGCCAGAACATCGTTTAAATCAGTGATGTAATGTCTTAAAATATTTTAAGTGGCATTTTTTAAATAACTTAAATGCATATGGTGTAAATATTTGCTGTAGCATGCTGTGATGAACGGCTACTGCATTTGTTCAAATAAATGACCTTGACTGTCTTTCAAGATCAAAGGGGTTAAATGTAAGTTTTCAAATGACTGATTTTTAGCAACCAAATGGCACAGGCTTCTGATATTGTGCCTGTAGTATGCTAGGATCAAGGGGTACCTATTTGTGGTTATGATATGTCTTGACCCTTTTTAAAGGTGACAGTGATCAAATATGTTAAAATCTTCCAAATAACTTCTTCCCAATAACCGAATGACCCAAGGAACTCATATAGGGCCTATAGCATGTTTGGATAAAGGGGTACTTTGTTTGTTCATATGATTGACCTTTACACATTTTTCAAGTCACAGTCACATTTAAAATCTTTGAATTACTTCTTTCTGAATAACCAAAGGTCCAGGCTTTTGATATTGGTTCTTTATCATAACTGGATGATGGGCTACCAAACTTATTAAAATGTTTGACCTTGACCAACTTTCATGGTGTCTGGGGTCAAATGTGTTTAGATATTATTATTTTTTCAACAAGCAATATGTCCAGGGTCATAGTATCTGTATATTAGTGTGAAGTAGGAAAAGGGTTCCAGGTTTACAGAAAATATTTTTTATAACCGACAATGTCTTTTTTTAAGCTGTAGATTAGATGAGTTAGGTCTCACATACAGGTATTTATAGTCAGAAGACTATTAAGGCCCATGGGCCTTTTGTTTGTTTTTTTCCTGGAAAAGTTTTGATGATTTTGAATAGGTAAGTTATAGGTTGATCAGCTGGTGTTTGCTGTAGTGATTTACGAAACATTTATACTTTATCAATCTTATTATGCAATTAAAATCTTATGACATGTTATTTTCTCATAGATATTCATAAGAGAATCATATTACGTTTTCAATTATTAATTGATCTCTATGGATGCAGTCAGAGTGACAGAGCTGCATGTAAAATTATGGATGTTTGAAGTGATTTCAATCATTTCAATGAGTTTATGTGAATTAATATAATGTGGCGACCGTTCAATGGCTAATGAAAAATGATTCCATTTAATGGGGCATTGTATTATGAAATCGATTACGTTTCTTGTCCTATGTTCTTATGAATAAGTGAAAGAGGTGCATTGCTGTTGGGGAAGTAAGGCTGATGAAAAATAGACGAAGGTTATTATGACTACAAAAATTGTTTATAATCAAGTCGAAATATAACTCGGGACGTAAATCATCGGAGTAAATCTGTCTTGAAAAAGAAAGAACTCAATTTTATCAGGATTAGAAATGATTCCCATATCTGGTGCAAATGATTTATGAATGGCGACCTGACACTACAGTTACAACGATGTCTAAATACTGCAGTCTGTACTGCTGCAGTACCTGCTTGGCGTTCCATTTCTGTCCTGTCCTTGTCTCTGCGCTTAATCCTCTGACCTTGTCGTCTACGCTATCCCTCAGCATGATGACCTGTCGAACCTTGGTTACCTTGAACTCCTAAGTCACTTACTTGGGTGGAAATTAGAATTTGGTTGCAGATACAGACATAAGACCGCTCCAGCACCTTAGTTCTGGCCTTAGGTGTGGTGTTTTAAGTTTTAAAATCCAGCACAGTTATCTCAATTCAATAGAGTGCCCAAAAATCCAAGTAACATCTACAAAGTAAGCCACATATACACCATACAAGACCAAGATATCTCTCCCTCTCCTAACATTCGAAACATCACTTACTTACTTTCCCGGGATCTGTATCAGAGGTCAGTCACCCAGTGTAGACATGCAGAAATGTAGCACACCTTATCTGGTGGCTAAACAGAGTAAAGAAAAGACTCAATTAGGGATTATTTTTACTAACAGCTTGTTCCACCACAGAACACAGTAAAATCTACCAAGGGTGAGAATCCTCTGGTTAAAACTTCGTGGTTGACTTCAGCTCATTGCACCAGTATTAATTACTTTACCAGTTATCATTGCGGTAAATAGTACCAATAGATAGTAATAGGTGGGAATTTTGTACCTCTGCGTCGTGTGGTGTTTTTGGTAGGGCCAAATAGAAATAGAAAATAAAAGATGTACCAAGTAGTAGTAATCACTGATTACCCGAGTACACCAAGTTTTACAGGTAAACATACCTGTTCGACTATAATCCCTATCCTGTATTATTGTATAATATCTGGGTATGACACTGAGAGATCATCTGTTCGTTAGCTGTCAGCGTGTACTATCATTGCGTGCGATAACACTGATCAATTCAATTTAATTTTATTTCGAAGGTTTTACAATTTATTGCATTTTTACAAATGACAGATAACATGACATACATTCAACGGTCGTGCTTATTTCATCATAATCAACTAGTTGGAAATATACAATTTTACAAATGCTATTTCAGAATATGTATTCAAGAATATATCATTATCATTGACAGCAATAAATAGTGTTATTAACGTAACAAGAAAAGACTACAATAGATATTCATCATATTCTTATAATTTACACTCTGACGAGTTAATATAGATATGAGCTATGATAATTATTATATCAATTATGTTCGTTCTTTATTGGCTTCAAATATTAACTAGCTAGCTAGTATTATCGACACTAAGCAATTGTAAATGCTTATACATGGAAGGAAATCGCCAATAAAAAGGTTTTATAAATCTCATTCTTTGTCTTTGAACTCTCGGTATATTATTATACCTGCCAGTTTATAAGCCAAACTATGCGCGAAAAGGCGAAGTTTAGATAAACAAATTCGATATTTTATTAAATTAAACTTCGGCAAATAGTACTGTAGAGTAAAATTATTTGCAATGTGCTTATATAAAGTACATTTAAATGAGTAATAATCTCAGATGTTGCTGACTTTGGTTAAAAACTATTTTCTATATCAAATAC